AAATGGTCTGGCCCCTCCTTACCTTTCGGATTTACTGACAGAACATCGTCCAGTTGTGTCTCTCCGGTCGTCTAATCAGAGATTGCTACGTATTCTGAAATCAAAGCTGAAAAGTAGGGGTGACCGGGCCTTTTCAGTAGCTGCTCCCAGATTGTGGAATGCACTACCCTCCAATATTAGATTTGCTCCAACCATATCTGTTTTTAAATATAGGTTAAAAACATACCTTTTTGAACTGGCATATGGTCAGTAATGAAATGTATTGCACTGTGTGTTTTTGCTTTTATGATTTTCATAATTATATATTGATTTATTTATTTTTTTACGGTCTCTTGTATTGGTGTAAAGCACACTGGTCAACTGTTGTTGTGTTTAGTTGTGCTATAGAAATAAAATTGACATTGACATTGACATTTATTTAAAAATTCATTTCAATCCCTAAAAAATATTTTAATTAAGAATCCATTGGTCATCCTTATAAGCTATTTATCTATCTATCTATCTATCTATCTATCTATCTATCTATCTATCTATCTATCTATCTATCTATCTATCTTCTTGCAATTCTGAGTTTATGTCTCACGATTCTTTTTATATCTCACAATTTATAATGTGCAATTTATGTATTTATTTATTTGTTTAATTAATTGCAATCCCTATCATTTATTCATTTAAAAATTAATTGAAATTCCTATACTGTGATATTTTTATTAAGAATGAATTGGTCATCCTTACAAACTATTTATTAATTTAAAATTATCTCGCAATTTTGAGTTTGTCTCACCGTTCTGTTTATATCTCACAATATATAATGTGCAATTTATGTATTTATATATTTATTTATATTTATATTAAAGGGTTAGTTCACCCAAAAATTAAAATTAGGCTGTGTTTTACTCACCCTCAAGTCATCCTAGGTGTATATGACTTTCTTCTTTCAGACGAATCCAGTCGGGGTTACTTTTTATTTAACTTCTTTTGGACTGATGCATGCAACACCCGCTGAGTGGCATTAAACAGCTTGAAAATCAAAAGGCAGTAAATATGTCTTGTTCTGTTCGAAATCGGACAGCAGGAGATCTCTTGGTGCTGAAAAGCTTGGGAAAACTATTTTCGAATGGATTACAGCAAAGCTCTGGCTACTTCCCAAAGTGGCAGGGAGCTTTAGAGACCAAAACACTCAATCTTTGAGGCAGGCTGAGATCCACATGGTTGTCACACCAACAAAGAACAAACAGCTAATGAATACCATCAAGACAATGTGGTTGCCATCGATGCAAACGCTCCTGAAAACCACTCACACCTAAATGGCAAGTATCCACACCATGGACACAGACAGCAGCATGGAGTCAGCAAAATTTAAAAAAATTAAAATACACTGCGCCTAGAAATCTTCAGAAACCATACTGAGAAGAAAACTAGCTTTTTCCTCAGGATGGTTAGTCAAGCTGACGCCCGTTACCAAATATAGGAACAGAATGACTAATTTCACTCGTAAGTCAAAAACCAGTCTGTGGCACATCAACAAAAGATGACTCACCTCTATTGATGAACTGGGAGGGACGAGTTTATCTGTAATGGGGAGGAGAAAAACGAAAGACAAACAAATCAGATATACATTATCATACTCAATGTTTTAAAATCATATATCTCAAAATATTCATAATATTTCATATATGTTACAATTTTATGTTTATCAACGAGCATGGCAATAGGATATAATTTAGAACTAGATTTTTCCATTTCTGGGTAGTTGCTAATGTGTCATGTATTGTTAGGTGATTGCTAAGGTGTTCTGGGCGGTTGTTAGTGTGCTGCTGTTGGGATCGTTGAAATGAATTTCTTCTGGATGGCTGCTATAGAGTGCAACAGTACTTTTTCAGCGGCCTTGGTTCCAGAAGTATTTTTCCTATTTATTTTCCCCACAGGAATTTAAAAAAAAGGAGTTGTTCAAGAGTTATAAACCATAAACCAAACCAGCCAGCTATGAGGTGCATCAAAACATTACAAACTTTGATTTTAAGCAAAAATATGTTTAAAAATCAGAAGAATAGACAAAGGTACAAGACTGTGTTTAACGGCTTTAATGCAGGAAAGAACTACAAAATGTATTGTGAACTGTATAAAACTACTGATGTTGATTATGTATTTAGAAGTAATATATTTAGTTTATTGCAAAATATGCATATATACACAAATTTTTAAGTAGTTTGAGAGTGTAGGGACTAGGGAGACCGACTGTTACATCATTTGCAGTGATTCATAGATTCATATTTGTTAATTTTGATTCTATGATTATGATTTCTTTGCAAAAGCATGGGTAATATAGTTTTTCACCAGAAATTATACTATTAAACATGATTATAAAAAATAAGTTGAATATAAAAATAAAAAATGTATATAAAACAATAGGTTGAAAAAATGCAGGCTGATGGCTTCAACAGAAGCATATACAACCTCACAGATCACAGTGGGTCTGTCTATTAGTGCTGTCAAAAGTCGTTTTCTGACATTTTAAAATGTTTTAAAAAGTGCTCGGTGAAGAGCGTGAAGCGATGATCATTGTAGCCAATGATCTTTAGCTCGCGTTTCGGGACAGTTGACAGAATTGTCAATTGCCTAATCGGTCAATGTTGCATAATCACAAAAAAAAAAATTTTCACGTCTTTTTAAGCTATTCAGTAGGCTACTCGCGCTCTCTAGAGGCGCTTTTCTGTGCTCAGAACTGTTTCTGTCACATCCAAAGCACGCGCTGCTAGTACCAAATTGAGAAAGTACTGTCGGTTTTGTTTTAAAGGAATAGTTCACCCAAAAATGAAAATTTGATGTTTATCTGCTTGCCCCCAGGGCATCCAAGATGTAGGTGACTTTGTTTCTTCAGTAGAACACAAACTGAGATTTTTAACTCCAGCTGTTGCAGTCTATCAGTCGTATAATGCATGGCAATGGTAACAAAATGTGTTAATAGCTGCAGATTCTGTTAATAGCTGCGGGATTGTACGATTGTACCGTACTTGTGCTGCTAGATCTGAGTGCGGCTTTTGATACGGTAGATCATGCTATCCCTTCTTGGAGCATTGTAGCATTGTGTTGGTATCAAAGGAGCTGCCCTTGAATGGTTTAGATCTTGTCTTTCAAATAGGAAGTTCAGTGTAAATATTGGGGAATATTCAACGGAGGCTGCTGTTCTTTCTTGTGGTGTCCCACAGGGATCCATTTTAGCTCCCATTCTTTTCACGCTATATATGCTCCCATTAGGGTCTATCTTCAGGAAATATGGGCTGTCGTTCCACTGCTATGCGGACGACACTCAAGTATATTTACCCTTAAAACCTAATACTGATGGGCTGGAAACACTTAGGGCCTGCCTATCTGACATGAAAGCTTGGTTATCTTTAAATTTCCTCAATTTTAATGAGAATAAAACTGAAATCATAGTTTTTGCTTCATCTGATTCTCCTAGTCAAATAACCCTAGGTAATTCAACACTTCCGGCAAAGCCTTGGGTAAAGAACTTGGGTTTTGTGTTCGATGATGGTTTAAAATTTGACAAGCAAATAAACTCTGTGGTCAAATCCTGCTTTTTCCAGCTTCGTCTTTTAGCTAAAGTAAAACCTATATTATCTTTTAATAACTTTGAAAAAATTAATTTTTAACATCGGGGCTAGACTATTGTAATTCACTGTACTACGGGATTAGCCAATCAGCTTTATCCCGGTTACAGATGGTACAAAATGTGGCGGCAAGACTTCTGACATGTACTAAAATCCGAGACAACATTACTTCAGTGCTACACACTTTGCACTGGCTGCCTGTACGATACCGTGTTGATTTTAAAATTCTTCTTTTAGTATTTAAATCTTTAAATGGTCTGGCCCCTCCTTACCTTTCGGATTTACTGACAGAACATCGTCCAGTTGTGTCTCTCCGGTCGTCTAACCAGAGATTGCTACGTATTCTGAAATCAAAGCTGAAAAGTAGGGGTGACCGGGCCTTTTCAGTAGCTGCTCCCAGATTGTGGAATGCACTACCCTCCAATATTAGATTTGCTCCAACCATATCTGTTTTTAAATATAGGTTAAAAACATACCTTTTTGAACTGGCATATGGTCAGTAATGAAATGTATTGCACTGTGTGTTTTTGCTTTTATGATTTTCATAATTATATATTGATTTTTTTATTTTTTTACGGTCTCTTGTATTGGTGTAAAGCACACTGGTCAACTGTTGTTGTGTTTAGTTGTGCTATAGAAATAAAATTGACATTGACATTACATAGACAGCCCTACAAACATTACAGCTAAGACCTGAATGATTCCCATTATGAACTGAACCTCAATGTGCAACCCTGAGTAATCTTGATTATTACATTTGGACCTAACTTCTAAGGAACAATAATGTGCTAAAATGTTATATATTATTTACATGTACATTTAAAGTGCCCTAGAGATCAGATTTTGTGACAAGCAGCTCTGACATACAGCTGAGATACTGAGGTTTCATTAACATCCACATAACCCCAAACATTTGTGTGGGTCATGACACCATAATAAGTCAAGGTTAGTAAAATAAAAACAATCAAGACAACAACAACAACAAAAACAACAACAAATTAAACACTTTTAAGCAACACAATTAATGTCTGGGCCACTTGAGATGGAATGACGCTCGAAAAGCAGTAGAGCTGGGATTAAACCGGTTGATATGGTTCACACTTGCGGTCTCTTTAGGCATTTTTGGGAATCAAACACAGCCACCTTGACAGCTGACAAGGCAAACTGTTTCCTTCAGGAGGTACGTCTAAATTTCACAGACTTTCACAATAAGAAGCGCTTCTGAAGTGGCATTTCGATGTCTTTAAGTTACACAGACTGTTTAATTTAAGCTATTTAAGTCGTCAGCAAGTTTTTGGAGAAAAATCGATGAATAAAAAGGCTCTGTGTGATTTAGCGTCCGTTAGCCGATCTGCTAATGAAAACAACACTGCGATTTAAACTTACTTGTCCTCCAACGGTGACATCGAAAAACACTATCGGGTTATTGGGGTTTGAAGGCTGAACGTTCATGCTTGTTTTCAGGCTTATATCACTCCAGACGGCGGAAATATGAGCTATTAATGTGTCCCAGTTCTCACACCACGAGTTTCTCAGGAACTATTCAAATGTGTTCCCCCGTGACGTCACTACGGTAACCCGCAGGAGCGCTTTCTACGGATGCAGCCGAGGGACACTCGCGAGAATTGCATTTAATTTGAATAAAGGTCAAAAACCAGAAATGAGTGCGGTACACTGTTGCTGCCATCTCCTGGTCTGCTTCCACAATTAGTTCTTCTTCCACATGCTTTTAGAAACTTCAGTCAGATTTAAGCCTTCAGAAACGTACCTGGGTTAACGGTTTACTATTTTCAGCCTATTATGAATTACTCAGTGTCTTCAAAAAATTGGAAAGGTACAACTGTTTGTTGTTTAGTCAGACTGTGTTTGTAAATAATTATACATTTCAGTTATCTTTAATGACACATGCTTCTTTTCTCCAGCTCTAGATAAAAACTGAAAACCGAAAGTCCTCATTATGTTTTTGCCATAGCTGTGGCTTTAGTGTATGAACACAGCATTACCACAGCAAGGTTTGCTAGGGCCAAGTCACATTTATATCTGGCGCAATCTGTACTGCGTTTTATATCATTTTATATAATTAAATGTACACTATTTACTGTCAGCTGGCCAAATCAGTGTTTTGAAAGTTTATTACCTTTTCAACTAGTTTTTCATACAAAATGCTGTTTCATAATTACCGTTTACATATTGGTGGAGAGCCAGTAGTTAGATTATATTTTAAATACAGATGTTCTTTAGGAGAATCATTTATGAATATCATGTTTTGTATCATATCATTATCATTTATGTTATGATATTGTAACATATGTTATCATTTATGGTATATGACATTATGATATATAATATCATTTTCCCTTTAGATAATATTTCATATATTAAAAAAAATACATTCTTCTCAAATCAGTGTTAATGGGCTGTCACAAGGTTGTCTTACTCAATAAACAAGATGAACCAATAAACAAAACTTAATTGTTATAGTAATCCATTACTCAGAGTGCATTGAATATGTTTCTTGTATATTCCTGAGACCCAGCTATGGAGTTTTTGCCTCTGTAGTGGACTTTTACACACATATTGCATAAAGCAAAATGGTATATCAAATCATTGTGTTATATATTTTATAACATAGTTGAGAGCCATCCTTAAACAAAGTTAGGTATAAAAAAATCCTGAAACCTAAAAATTGATTGGTGATTTAAAAAAAATTCCCATTGTTTTTGCCTTTTCATGTCTACTCTTGCCTTTTTTTTTTTTAGAAAAACTGAGTCCTGGTGTCCTCTACAGAGCACATAGCATAACATATGAATAAAACATAATTTTTCAAAAATGTTATTTTACCATTTTTTTCTTATGCTCTAAACAATGTAATGACATGAAAAAATACTAAATTCACAAAGCTTTTTATTTCTGGTTCTCAGGAGGTTAAACACATCCTTTATTGAGAATAACACATATATTACACTGTAAATCTAGTCAACGCTCGGCTCCTTCAGTGGGGACCCTGGAGTAACAGGGCTTTTGGGTTTTCCAGAAGCCTCACTGCGAATAGCAGAAAAACATGCAGAGATTTAGGTTATCATGAAAAGGCATTTAAACCCCATTCACCAACAAATTACCATTGAAATTTAGAAATAATATGTCGCATTACATTATTCAAATCTGGCAGAGTTTGTTAATATTTTATCAGGTTTAAACCCAGGCTTATATGTGCGTGTATTATTAATTCTACGGTGTTAAAATTAGATGTTCAAATGCATGCATGTGTTATTTTGCCAATTGTCTCATAAGGCACCATATAACATTATCATGATAGCACAGAATTGGTCAAGAAATTCTGTTCCAGAACATTCAGTTTTCAACACACAAACTTGTAAATAACATTGGAATTATCAAAGCAATTGGGCAATTAAGCAAGATATTCATAAAATAAACCAAGAAACCACTGTCAAGAAACATAACAAATAATATTTGTTATATAATTTTAATAGCAGATGCTATTTTACCAAAGCTAAATATAGAAAGGGCAAATGACACTGTATTTGCTCAAAGTAGGCATTCACACCCAGCTAGCGACGGGGTCTTAGCTGCCTATCTTGGTACTTTCGACTGAACTGACTTGTGTAGAGAAGTGTCTGCTAAAAACCAATTAAATGCACAATACACAACATTTTAACATAAAATATGTATTAAGCAAAGCCAGCCCACCTTTCAGCAGTTAGGGCCTTCTGTGAAGACATGACTACACTTGGTGGACCGGACTCTCTGCGTCCATCTCTCTGACAATAGTAGTTATTTGCAAATCTATGGCTCGGTCCAACAGGAAGTTTAGGTGGTGGCTGAGTCCTACCATCAATTACATAAATAAAATAAATATCAACCATGGATTAATGATTGCATTTATTGTCATCATAACAGGGTTTTGAAAATAAGGTTATTATATTGAATATAAATATAGAAGTATATTTGAACTATATTGTACACTTTAACTTTCCTCAAAGTAAAAGGTCAGTCTTTTATTTCTAGACAGCAAAAGACAAAAAATTAATTTGTTTTACTGTAGAACCATTAAAATGGTGCCTTGTAAAAATATTTAAATTATTAACTAAATAAATCTGTCAACTACCCATATATAAAAATTCATATATATTAATATAATAAAACACATCAGTATAACGTTGGTTCCAGTTAGATAATTTCACTGCAAGGCTGGCGCTCTCTCTGGCAGCGGCAGGTCGCAGTGCTTCTTCCGGTGGCCTCGGGTCGGGTGCCACGGGTTTCCTCCGGCAGCTGCCACGGTCTTTCTCGTCATTTCTGCTGTTTGCTCGGTAAAAACTACACTGTTCTCAGTGGCGTGCGGTGGTGTTTTTAAAAAAGAAAAAATATGATGCAAAGTTCCCACAATTGTATTATTATTATTATTATTATTATAAAACAAGTAATATAATACAAATTTAATTATAAATTCAAGGCATTAATGTTTGCCTACAAAACCACCACTGGCTCTGCACCCATTTACCTAAATGCATTACTTCGGTGTTATGTGGCCTCTAGAAGCTTGTGTTCTGCAAGTGAACGACGCATTATTGTGCCATCTCAAAGAGGCACAAAATCACATTCACGGACTTTTTCATTAACTGTTCCCTCCTGGTGGAATGACCTGCGCAACTCAATCCGAGCAGCTGAGTCCTTAGCCATCTTCAAGAAACGACTAAAAACTGTTCCACCTTTATTTGACCCTCTAACTCTAGCACTTTCTATTCTATTTTAATTCTGCTTTATCTATATTTATCTTCTTTTTTAAATAAAATGATATAATATTTTTTCTATTCTATCTACTTGTTTTTCTTTG